GCTGACTCATATGGCATCGGGAACGAGATACAGGAGCTTCCTGCACTGGGTAAGATCCTTGGAGCATTTGAGAGCCCTGGTGACCTGAGCTTGCATGAGAAGTTCATGCATCGCCATATTCTAAGCTGCGATGTCTCTCATGCCCGCAGCTATTTGAGTCATTCCTTCAGTGAGCATGGCTGTTCTTTCACCTCGACGACGCCAGTGATGGAGTTTTTGGTGAATGACATTGTCATGGAGCACTTCTTCTTCAGAGGCCTTTCTTATGGGGTTGTCGTCTTCATGGCTGGAACTCATTCTATCTCCTTTTTCAAGGGTGATGAGAACTTGAGTTATAACTCGACTATGTTCTTTTTCAAGAACGTGCCATTTTCAGAGTAAGTCGCTAGTTTTCCGGTGATTTCTCCGGTGGAGAATGCAAAACCTTGAACGGGAAGTTTTCCACAGACGGCGCCAATCTATTGACCTCGAAAATTGGACCCTCCACGTGGCCAACCGATAGCCACTCCACGTATTCCTTCTTGTGCACAATCAACGCACGGTCAGATGCACACGGCCGGAACCAGCAGGGGTGGCAGTGGCCGTATACACTCCGATGGTCAAGTTAGGCTCAGGGGATCGGAATAGTACCAAGGTTGTGCAAAATAGTGGGGAGGAGATATATATATTTGCTTGCTATGGAGTATTAAGTAGTAAGAGTTTCATTACCTTTGCCTCTTGCCAAACCTTGAGTATTTATAGGTGAGGAGAACCGTTGGATGTGGGACACGTATATATATCTGACGGTATGAGGTATCTGCTCATAGGCGTCAATCAGCCCCATCTATAGAGTGGGCGGGTAACTACTTCTCCCGAGTTGAGTTGACATAAAGTTGATACGTCACATCAACTAGCCTCATGGAGACATCAAATCACTTTAAACCTTTGGGGCAGAAAAGATCTTGACAAAGATCTCATTCTGAAATTGGCGACGGATCCTCTGACAGAGTTCCTCGGAGTGCATTTTGCCTCAGATTCAGGGGCGAGGGCACTTCGGCCAGTCCCGCAGAATTGCTTATGCCTCGTAGTGTGATAGCAGATCGTCACCATTGGTGAAATAACTTCGGAAACACTTCAGATGAGCGATCCACACCTCGCATGATGTGGTGGTGAACTTTTCGAAGTGGTTCAGATAGGGGTGTAACACCATAAATTTTATTAATGGCTTGTTTAAGTCACATTATTTTCAAAAAAATGCATTCTTTAACGGTGATTTGAAATCATTTTAACCACACATTTTCAATAAAATAATATTACACATAAATCTAAAACATTTTCTTATTTTTTAACCACACATTTCTTATTGATTTGACATGAATAATATATTTTTTCCTAAAATGTGACTCAAACATGGGCTTAATAACCGAATTTAAAAAATATATCTTATTGGTCACTGAACTATGTTAATTGCTATTATTTAATAATTAAACTTAAAAAATATATCATGATAGTCATAGAATTATGCACTGTGTTATCAATTTATCGTTGAAGTTGGAAAACCCATTAGTTCAACTAACAGCGTCGACTCGAGTGAGGATAGATAACACAATGTATAGTTCAGTGACCATTGAAATATAATTTTAAGTTCAGTTACTAAGTGTTAACAATTGGTAGAGGTCGGATACCATTGAAATATAATTTTAAATTCGGTCATTAAGCATTACTAATTTTTTCTTCCCTCAAATATGAAAGCAAAATCAAAGAAAATGAAGGGGAAAAGAATAACTAAAAGTCCGAGACTTATAAATCGAAGAAGAATATAACTTTTTAAGAATTAGGGATTGTGTTTGAGTTTAGTTTTGTTTACCTTGGCACTAATTTGAACATTTTTTTACTTTTATTTTAAAAAAAAATTCTATGTCAAACATTATATGATGCTAGAATGACTCTAAATGATTCGCGGAATCATGAAATTCCCGACTAGCATATTCCCTTTCATTCACTTAAATTATCATATTGTTCCGTTTATCGACCATTTGTTGTTGTTGTTGTTTTTGATATATTTGTTGTTATGCTTCTCTTTGTCAAAAGTTAAAAAGTACATTCAATTCCCAGATCAACTGGTATCACTTTTTCGTACTACAAATTTCGTATAAAAAACTTCCAAGAGAGACAGTAGGCTCCATTTAGGCAGCAAAACTTTCAGTTGAAGACTATTGTTATCCATTTATTTCATAATGGACACCAGCAAAAGTTTTTCTCTTCGATTTATAGGCCTTCGATTTCCAATTTCCTCTTTTGTTTTCCCTTCATTTTATTTGATTTCTTCTTTCACATTGGTCGATTTGAGAAAATAAGAAATTGTTACTACTTCAATTGTCACTAAACTATATCAATTGTTACTACTTCATAACTATATCAATTGTTACTACTTCATAATTGAACTTAAAATTGTATTTCAATTGTCACCGAATTATATACCGTATTGTCTATCCATCACTCTAGTCAATGTCATTTGTTGAATCTAACGAATTTTTCTACTTAAATAATAAATGAATAACACGATACATAATTTAGTGACTGTTGAAATATATTTTTAAGTTCAATTTATTAAGTACTAGCACTTGACATAAATAAAGTAACCTTTCAAATAATTAACCTATGTATATGACGCTTGTGATTATCACTTTCCAAACACCACCAACAAAAAATAAAAGAAGAAGTCAAATGTCGGTCCAGACCTACTCAAACCAATCATTCAACTAACAAAAAAATGTTGAATAATGTTCCTCCACCCCCCACCCAAAATATATAAATAAAAAATAAAAAGAAACAATGTCAGGAAATACGATAATACACCTCGTAAAACTACATAGAGCATGTTTGGTTGGAATTTTAAGCCAATTAAAATCAAAATTTTGATCGTTATTTCATTATTTTAGTCGTTATTTTTAAATTCTTCTCTCATAAGTAGGATCCACTTTTACCTTTTAACGGTAAAAAAATCAATTCTCAAAATTCCCACCAAACACCTGCATAGCTTCGACATGTCAAATGGATGCATCCCCTTCTAAAAAGTCAACTTGGTCCCAATAACGTACTTTTTTGGACCAATGGTTCTTTTACACATGTCCGTGGTTCACACACGTAGCACACGACATCCTTGAAATTCAAATTCCACTAGATCTAGTTTCTTCCGTTGAATCAAATCATATCCCTTGAGTTCTCTCTTCTTCAATATGATGGAAATTTCACTTAACGGTCACCCCAACTCATAGAATTATCTTATCCTAGTCACTGAACTTTAATTTAGGGTTTGTTTGAGCCACATTTTTTTCAAAAAATACATTTTTCAACAGTAATTTGATTTCATTTCAACCACACATTCTTCAAAAAATAATATTACACACAAATTTAAATTTTTTTCTTATTTTTAATCATACATTTCTCATTAATTTGACATGAATAATGATTTTTTTCCTAAATTGTGGCTCAAACATGGGCTTAATATAAAACATTTGTTTTAATCTCACCATCCCATTAATAACCACAACCAATTAGAGTGCTCCAACATGGCAGACAGGTTTAGCTATGTGGACGATGGACCTCAACATCGTTAAAATGCTAGGTTGCAGAACTTGTTGAAAAATTTAGTCCTTATTTGATCTCAAAATTTTCAAAATGTATTTTTCTTTCTCTTCTTTTCAATCATACATTCTTCATCAATCTGCAATTTCAAAATATTTCTTAGCTAAAAATGGGACCCAAACATACGCTTAAAAAAAAGTTATAATGACTTCTTTTTATCTGAGCCCCGTAATCAAGGTTTTATAAAAATCAAACATTTCGCCTTTCAATAAAAAGAAGAGGAAATTTGTGAGTGAAAAGGAAAACGGTTTCATTTGGGCTCTTCGAAATTCAATTTCAAGAGATCAAAATCGAAGAAGCAAATATCTCTATTTGATAATTGAGAAGATCGAAAAATTTACGAAACACCAATTCATGGTTTGGATGAAATTTTAAAACATTAGTGGTCCATATGAAAGAATCTATCCATCGTATTGGAGTGTTTGTCTGATCGATGAAGTGTTGAAGTGGCTAGAGACTCGAAAAAAGGTATAGTGATGATTCTTAAAAAAGTCAAAGTTGGATGACTAATATTAACAAAGATATTGCTGGTCACCGAACTAAAGTAAACTCGAATTGGATCATTGAACTTTAATTTAGTACAATTAAATCACTAGGCTGTAACTTAAGTGCAAATGTAGCCCTTGTTTTACAACCTTTAAATCAAAATCTTTTCGCTACGCACTCTACCTTTTAATTTCACATTCTCCTAAAGATCATTATTCAAAATGTCTATTTTCTCCAAATAATCGTTGTCAAACAAGGTGTAGTCACGTCCACATATTGAGCTTGTTTGTCTCTCATTATGAGAGAAAATATAGAGTTTTAAATAGTATTTTTTAGAAAATTTGTAGTTGAAATTTAAAGAATTTTATTAGTTTATGTGTAAAATATTTTATTATGTGAACGTGTGGTGGAGAATATTATTGTAACAAACAATTTAATTTATTAAAGAATGACAAACAAAGGCATTACTTTCACCAGCAATCTCACTTCTCCATGCATCACAACCATTGAACTTGAATTAATTATTTTAATGGTCACTGAACTTGAATTCATATATTTGATTGGTCATTGAGGTTTAAAATGTCAAGTTTTAATCACCGAACTTAGATTTCATGTCTTTAATTGCTCACCAAAGTTTAAAATATCGAGTTTTGACAACTGAATTTTGAAAAATGCTTAATTTACTCACTAACATAAATGTTGAATTTTGAAAAATATCAAATTTATAGTTATTAATGTACAATATTCTTTAAAATTTAGTGGTTAAAATTTGATATTTTAAATTTTAGTGAGTAATTCAAGATTTGAATTTAAATTTAGTGATTAAAACTCGATATTTTAAACTTGGTAACAAAGTATTGAGATAAACCTCGAGTTAACCATTGGGAATGGTTAACTCGATTTTCAAAGCATTTTTCATATCTCTATCCACCTCCAAAATCTCTTCTTTCAGACGCGAAGATTACTGTAATTTCAATCGATATATGCAATATGTATATTCAAATTCTCTTGAGAGGAAAACTGTGAACGTTGTTCTAGAGAGAGAAAGGAGTTGTTTTGAAGTTCGATCAGACGTTTTAGAGAGAGTAGACCGGAAAATGAATGCCGTGGGGAGGCAGAGATCCGGTGCATCAACGGCGCACCACCAGCGACAGTACTCCGACAACTGGATAGACACTCCATCGAATGGACGGTTATTACAATCAGCTGATCTCCAACACCTACAGTCAAACAATGCAGTCTCTCCTCTTCAGGTACATTACCGCATTTTGTATTTACTAGTTAGATCCGACACTACAGTAAAAAAGCCCCTCAATTTATGATTTTTGTAAATAGGATTTTAATGGCGGGATTCATGGTTCAAGAATGTACAGGAGTGTGTAAGCACAGAGGAATTAGAGGAAGTGATTTGTTTGGGGATCCATTGCACCGACTAGGGATTCATGACCTACAGGCCGGAGAATGAATGTGGAGGAGCAAGTTTCCAAAAATGAGTGTAGCCCTGGACTATTGGATCTGCATTCTTTTATACCGAGCTTCTCCCTGAGGTGATTTAGAGTTTTTAAAGTAAAATTATGTTCAAGCTCTGTCTTGTTAACTCATTTGTCTATCAACGTATGTGGTGGCAGTGGTGCGCGGTTTATTCTTTCAATAGTCCATGTAATGTAATTCATTTGAACTTCTTGTGCTTCCTTGTTTCCTTTCTTTCTTTCTTTTGTTTGAGGATGGCAAGTTTGTGTTGTCGGGTTTGTGGTGGAAAATTGATACATGCATTTAAAAATTAAAAAAACTGATTAGACTGTAGAGAATAATAATTATACCGAAATGTAGGAGAAGGCAACATATCTTTCATGGATTAATGAGTTGGATTTATATACAAGTCTACAAGTGTCCTATAGTGTTCGCGAAATATTTCTTTCGATTTAAATTATCGCAAGCGTACGGTTCGTTAACAAGTAATAAAGTGGATCAATTGAGTCCGAATATCGTCCACAGAGATTGGTTAATTCAATTTTACTTATTTTAGCCTTAACCGAAACTAATTGAGTTGAAATGAATTTTGGAATCAAAAACCCTAATTTTGGGAGAAATCCCCAAATTGAAAAACCCTAATTTCAAATCAAACTCTAAATTGGGGGAAATCCCCAAATTGAAAAACCCTAATTTCAAATCAAACCCTAATTACTTAAATTCACTTAACTAATGACTCAATTACGAAATGTTATGAAAAATTGATGAAATGTATTGTCAATTTGTGAAAATCTATATAAAACAAATGCACTAGGATCACGAATCCCCAAATAATTACCAATTAAACCCTAATTTTACAATTTTGATAATTCAATAAGAATTTGATAAATCAATGCTCCTAAATCTATTCAATATTCTCTCTCGAGATGTATTGAATCTATTCTCATAAATCATCAGCCTATATCTCTATGACGGATGCAATTTTACAAGAACGCATATAATCCTTTTGTGTGCAATTAAAGATTTACATAGGGCATAGGAGTATATTTCTATCCCCTATCGGACCCTATGATGAATTATATATGTCGAGTCTAATCTAATTTTCTCAAATTCAGAATTAAACCACCAAGTTCACACAACTCAAATGCACATTAATTGTGGAAATACGTAAATCAATATAATCCATTCAAAAATCCATCAAACTAATAATTCGAAATCATGAAATAGAAAGTTTAATAAAAATTACATGGTTCATCGATCACCTAGTTGCAAAAATCTAGCCTATCATGATAAAAATAACGAAAACTAATAAAATATGAATAAAATACATCACCGGGTTATCAAAGATTGAAAAAATCTCGTAAATCTCGCAACAATTGCTTGTTCTTGCCTTCAATTCCACTCCAAGATTGATGTTTTTGCCTCCCAAGTCGTTCGTGAGGCTACTGGACGTCTTGTTGCTATTTAAACCCGTCCAAATTAGGTTACCAAAGGAGTTGCAATCATATAAGGAAACTACAAAATTCGGGAAAATTTATACCTATGCGACCGCATAGGTTTAGGAAAAACTCCATTTTTCATCCCTGGAGGTTCACTCGCGATCGCATAGGTTTTATACTATGCGACCGCATAGTAGAGTTACTTCCTTGTTTGAGTCATTTTGGTCCTCAAGTTTCATTCCTTCACTCTTTGACCTCCTCTTTTGTTCCTCGTTGCTCTAATGGTCCCTCATAACTTCCAATTGGTGCTTGGCTTGATCAATTGCTTGATGTGTTCATCGGATCAATTTTCAGATAATTGCAATTTGGTCCCTGAATTTTCTCTTTGCTTCAATTTGGTCCTTTTTCGGCTCTTTTCTCCTGAATTCCACTGTTTCCCTAGAATTTCCTACATTGCATGAATTTGGCAGAGTTAAGTAACAATTAAATCATTTTACTTGTATTTAAGTTATGTTTGTGATGTAAATAAGTGTGCAAAAACACACTTATCATATAGCATGTAAGTATTGGTTTACTTATACCTACCAACCAATCTTAATTAACTCCATGTTACTGGTGTTTGAATCACGATATAGCCCCATCAAATCAACGACCTACTGAGTACAGTATTAATGTTTTGTTTGTTTACTTTCTTCAACTCATTTCATTCTTTTGATATCTGAGTTTATTTAGCTAGTATTGTAAGTATAATCATTTCTACTTTTTCTCTTGCCTGCCCTTTTGATTTATTTTGGTGTATGGTTGCCAAGAACTGACGTCAGTTCCTGGTCTTTATGTGCCCGTTCCATGCATCACTTTGCTCAGGGGAAAAGTTTTGATGACTTTGAGCCTTACCTCGGAAACAGCAAACATGCGAGTAGAACTCCTGTGACACTGGAGAACAATGTCTCCAAAAGCCTTGCTGCTGATAATGTGAAAGCCAGCAATGCTGCAAAGATCAAAGTGGAGGTATGCCTGTTTGATTCTGTCCAGTCATTCATAATTCAACAGTGTAGCTATTAGACAAAGCCTTTTAAATTTAGGTTTATCTTTTTACTTTACAGAATCAACTACATTGTGACTGCTATGCGATCATGCTTAGTTGTTAATGTGATTACCTTTAGCCCCTGTTTGATTCCCATTTTTTCAAAAATATACATTCTTAAATAATGTTTTGACATTATTTCAACCACACATTCTTCAATAAAATAATATTACACGCAAATCTAAAACTTTTCCTTATTTTTTAACTACACATTTCCCATCAATACACTATTCAAAAATACATTCTTGTAAAAAGAATGGGGCTCAAACAAGGGCTTAATAAATTTAACTGGAATTACAATCTCTGCAGCAAGTGAAAAGCCCTTTCATTATCTAAGAGCATTAGACTATTTAATGTTATGATGTTTCTTTCATTATGTAATTTGTTTATTCTGTTTGGTTGCAGGTGCGCAAAAGACCACTAAATAAGGAAGAATTGATGAAGAATGAGGAAGACATCATAGAAACACATTTTAATTCTCTCATTGTTCAAGAGATAAAACTTAAGGTCTGTGCAAATTGTCGTTATCTTGTATATTTATTTCAGCAAAAGGATTTGCTTGTTAATGTAGGATCAATGGGATTCAGCAGTTAAACAATAACCAGCAGAAAATAAGCAGAGGACTAAAAAGAAATAGGCAGCCAGAAAGGGGGGGGAACTGGAGAGAATGGGGGAGAAGACTGGAGAAGAATGGAATAAGAGGAGAAGGTCGGCGGGGAGAAAACTTAACCAAACATTTCATTCATCTTCATCAACTGTCCCAAGTAAACAATAAATCATACATAAATAGCAGAACAAAAAAAAAAAAAAAAAACCCCTAAAGAGAGTGGGCTTGGGCCAAAACCATTATACAAGCCCAATAATAGAACATAAATAATAGTCCAAATGGAAATATAAAATAATAAATGGATGAAATAATAGTCCAAATGAAAATATAAAATAATAAATGGATGTCCGCATCACTTTTCCCCTTATTTATAATTGTTCTTATTCTATTTAACTGTATGGAGTGCGTCTTGGTGAGAGTGCGTCTTGGTGAAAGTTTAATAGTGCCCATGTCCATGTCCCATTATTGTAGATTTTTGTGGGAAACCAACTTTTATTGGTCGTGGTTGCTGCTATTTGTTTCAATTCTCCCTGTTAAAATGAGTTACTTACTATAGTTAAGGTGAAATAAATGGCACTTCACATCTTATAAGGAATTACAGTCGACAACACAACACTTGTCTTCAGCTTTACCACCTACTGAGACATTTGAAGATGATATGGGCGGTTCATGGCCTGAACGTACTGATAATGAAAGTTATGATGAAGACTCCTATGAGCAAGAGAAGCCTTCAAGGAAGAACTCAAAAGTTGAGGCATATAATTTTTCGTACTCAGAGGATAAGACGAGAACCAATGGCTAGACCAAATGGAAAGGGCAACCTAAGATGGATATGAAAAATTCAGAGGATAATCTGAATCTCTTTTGAAGGTAAAAATAGTAGTATTTTGCTCTAGGAACTACTGAAGTTACGGATCCCATCCAGGTACTAATATATATGAGTTCCTGTTGGATTTTTTAGGAAGAAGATCTCATGAATGCTCAGAGGAGACAAGTAGAGGAAACAATGGATATCGTCAGAGAAGTCAACACTATTCTGAATTTTATTGTACCATATGTAGCAAGGTATAATGTAAAATGTTGCCATCTCTATTATTTGCCATTGTTCCACAACTTTTAGGGTATGTTCGATTGACATTATTTTTCATGAAAATGTCCTTTTTGGTGTTTGATTGGCATCTTTTTTTCAAGGAAAATATTATCCAAAAGTTGGTTATGTGACCATATTTTTCTCAAAAATAAGGAAAACATTTTCTTTATTGTGGGGAGAGGGTGGGGGAGGTAAGTTTTTATTTTCTAGGTAATTTACACTTCCAAAAAACTCGACTTAATGAAAAATTACAATATCCTTTTAGGTTGAAAATTAAGCTAATAAAACACATTTAATTGACAAATTCTAAGCAAATAAGTTTAAATGCCTAGAACTTATTTTGTTTCCATGCAAGTTCCATTCTTGCAAACACACCCCTAATGTCAAAAGCTGGTATTGGTACAGTATCTGTTACACTCTTTTGTTGATTGATGATCATATTTGCACGTCTCAGTTTCTAGATATGTGCTCATTTTCCAGAAGTTTATGCGGGTCAGTAAATCTTTTTATGTGCCTTGTGCAGGAGATGAATCTATTGGTCAAGGCAGATCAACCAGGAAATCAGTTGGATTATTACATCTCGAAATTGAATACAATCCTCTCTCAGAAAGCAGCTGGTATCTTACAGTTACAGAATCGCTTGGTTCATTTTCAACAGCGCTTAAAGGAGCACAATGTTTTAGTGTCGTCTGGTGATCGAGAAATTTGTACGATAATGCACATGTAAAACAGTTTGTGATACATACATATTGGTCAAGAAAAAGTTGATGCAGTAATTCATTACGACTTGGTGGTTTTACTCGGGCATATTCAGTTCTCAACACGATGATTATTCAATCATTGTTTCGATTGCGTTCCGATTGATAACCATCATTTGATTTTGTTTTCTTTCTTTTTTAATTACAAAAAGTCACAAATCTGATGCTTCTGTAAAGATCTGCATCTTTGTAATTTCATGATAATTGGATCATTTTGACAAGGAATAGGCATTTGTGTACAATTAAATGTTCTTGCCTTCTGATGTTTCATGACCTTATGTTTCTTGGCCGTAGTGCATGTTCAGTACATGGTATGAGTCGGGATTGGTTCTATGAACGGAATTTATTTTATTTTCTTATTTGATGTTGTTTAGGACTGTTCAATTCACCATACTATACATGATCATTGATTTTATTTTTATTTATTTTTGATAAATTTGACTTGAATCTCTGGGGTATATGCCATTGGAATAAGCAAATTTGAAGAACATCGAAATTGAAAAATTGCAAGGAGTGCACAAATACACGGCTAAAAAGAGGAAGAGCGAAGGAAAACAAAAATATCCAATTCTATTTAATAACTTCGTCTAAAAGCTTAGACCATTGAATGCACATAAATCTATTTATTCAAATTTCATCTTCAACGTGGTCTTTGAATTTAATGGTCGACCAAGGGTTGTGGAGGATGCAACTCCCTATACACGTCCATGAAAAATTTGTCAACAATGTCAAGGTAAAGTGGACATGTAAGCCTAGAATAATAATGCATCACCTCTTCCACATCCATCACATGGTCCAAATCATTCATATCAAACATTTCCAATTCTTTCATCTTATGTGCTAAACCATTTACAATCTTTGAACTGGACCCCACTTGTTTCCCTTCCATGCACGTCTGGCACACAATATTAGATTCATCTGGACAATATAATAAACAAAAGCTTAGTTCCTACTATGTAGGGAAACATATAGCTACTCTTAACAAAGTTGACATATGAAGATGAAACCTCAAATCTTATAATATGTACTGTTATTAGAGTTCGATAAGCTCAAACGAGCAAACTATATGTTTGAAGCTCAAAGGCCATCACAATACTTACCTTTCTTCTCTTCTTTTCTTGCACCATTCATGGACCTTCCACTGCATGATGATTTTTCATCTCTCTTTCTTTTTTCTTTCACCGAAAATCGACCGTTTTTCTTTTTCTTCAGCACCTTATTATGATCAGAATCCCAATGTTGGGAGAAATCTTTGTAGAAATTATCCAAATCCTGCATTTTGGGATTAAAGAGAGGATTAACATGAGGAGTTTTAGGTAGTTTTTGGTAATCTCCTAAGAGTGACGATTTGAGGTTTCGGAGAGTTCTATGAATGTAGTGTCTGGTCTTGTAAATGGATTCTTTGAGCTGCATTTTTGGGTTCAATTTCGTTCTGCAAGGCCTGTTGAAGTAAGAAGAAGAAAATTTTCAAATTTCTTTTGGTTACTCTGGGACAAAATGTAATGAGAAGGGGTTTTTAAATAGACAATGCTCTCTGGGTTTTTGAAGTTGTAGAAAAGTCTAGATCGGTCGGGTTCGTGTTTTAGGATGCCTTGCATGGCCCGTCGTAGACCCGGCATGTTCAGAAAATGTGTAGTCTTGTTGAAAACTAAATTTTAAATAATCATTTTATGTGAAGTAGTTAAACATGGTATTAGAGCTCGTAAAAGACTTGAATCCAACCCTTCAAATCCTGTCATCACCCTTTATGAAAATTTTGAAACTTTGGCGGTTGATGTGAAAATGAAATTCAGTGTGGCTTTACCTTTTTTTGAATAAAAGAAAAAAAAAAATCTCACGTTCTTTTAAAAGAAAAAATAAAAGTACCTTGCGCGGGCCGACTCGTAAAGACTAGTATTCGGGACAATTTGATTAGTAAACCCATCAAATCACTAGGTAAAGTAGAAAATGATGTTTGTCCAACAACCAGCAAACGCTCCTTAGCTTGATATAATATGTATTCCATTCAAGAAATGAAACGAAACTAATATAAACGCGAACACAATGGGAATCCAATGATTATTAGAAGACTTCCTGCTCTTTAAAGTGCTGTCTTTTTTCTATTAAGAAGAAAAGTTAAAGGTTCGGTGGGTTAGTGAAAGTTCACTAGACGGTGCATGTAATCAAGATATCTAATTTTTTTTAGCTTCTTTTTGACCAATATGGCCTACAATTACACAAATATAAATGTATAGGAACGTGATATCCAATAACAAAAAGAATGAAATAGAAGAACTCTCGAATATTTGGTGTGTATAGATTTGTTGATTATTTTGTTGGACTCGAGTAGAATTGAACCATAATTACATATCCGAGATAGATTGTTCGAAGAATATAGCCTTTCTTCAAGAAGCCAATAATTTGAACCCAACATATCCGTTCCTTTTACCTATTCAAAGATAGGCTCCCTAGTACCATGTTTTCATATTGAGAATTATTTGCATATGGAGAGATATCAAACGAGTTTCTTAGTTTCTAATATTACGAAGGAGCTTTATGCAATGTAGAGTTTGTGTTTTTAATAAGGAGATAATGGAAAAGATGACACGGAATTGATGGAAAAATAAAAACATTCATTTGATATGTTACGATGATTTGAACAAATGCACATCGTATACAATAATGGATGGGTAAAAATATCATCGACATTAATTAATACGTGCAACAAAAATGATCTTTTATGCACCAGAAGTGAATGTTTGGATATGAATATAAAGAAAAAAATATTTGAAATGGGGGTACTTCAAGGGAGTATATTTTGGAACCCTCGTTGTAAAGTTTCCCACTCAACTAAATACAAACAATTCCAATTAGTGCTACTTTTGTCAATTTATCGGAAAGAAATATACAAATCTAATGGGTCTCAATGAGTAAACAAAGGGCCCAACTTCTATCCAAGCCCTTGCAACCCAACATTTGAGCCCAACTAAAGGTCCGGTATCCCTTAAGGCCCAACCCTAGAGCCTAAAATGATTTGTTAATTTCCTTGATTTTTCCATATATAATAGCTCAAAACTGCGCATCCATCTTTTTGGCTAGAGCTCAAGGAAAATCTAGGGTTCCTGGAACTGCACAACAATGGTATTATACATTTTTTTTTTAATCTTTAAGTGTATATATTTGTATGTATATCAGCAATTGATTTGATCTGTGTGTGTCTTTGTGAATTTCTCTTTCTCTTTACTTGGATGATAATAGGGGAAGGGAACAGGGAGCTTTGGTAAGAGGAGGAACAAGACACACACATTGTGTGTGAGGTGTGGCCGCCGCAGCTTCCACCTCCAAAAGAGCCGCTGCTCCGCCTGTGCATACCCTGCTGCCCGCAAGAGGACATGTAAGCCCTCATTGTATTACACTTGTTTTTATGTGTACAAATGTGTTTGATTTTATGCTTGATTGGTGTTATAATTGAATGACATAATAGATAATTGGAGCGTGAAGGCTATTCGGAGAAAGACTACTGGAACGGGGCGCATGAGGTACCTACGCCATGTGCCGCGCAGATTCAAAACCAACTTTAGAGAAGGTATAGATTCATACATATCGATATATCGTCACAACTTTTTGAGCTTTTTGCACGTAATGTTTTCTTTCTTTTTTGTTTGTTGATTGGTCGTTTGACGTGGGTTTAGGTACTCAAGCAGCACCAAGGAAGAAGGCAGCAGCAGCAGCTTCTGCTTAATTTTGATGGTTTCTTTGGATTTTACTTTTCTTAGCTCCTCTTTGAAGTATTAGAGAACAAATGAATTTGGAAACTTCATTTGAAGGGCATTTGTTCGCATTTCATGATGATTTGAATTTACATTTTTCGTTTTGTGCCTTAATCTTCTCAATAGTATGGATGGATCAAAGACCATTATATATTAATTTGAATGCTCATTCTTGGCATTGTTAGAATTGCTAATTTCTCGAGTTATGAAGTTCTCAAAATTTTAGTGTGTTTGTCAATAAATATTTGTGGGATTATCCTATGTTCATTTATTTTCTCTCCATAGCTAACTTTCATCTTAAATTTTTCGCAAATGTTTAATGCTTTATAGAGAGAGCAGATTACTCTTCCTAACTATTCCTTGTTAGGATGTTTTGAGACGGATTAGTTGCTGAAGTTATTCAGAAGACATGATAGTTATACTCAGAAAATCCTAGGGCAATTGAGATTTGTTTTGGTGTGAAAATGCTCATTTTTGGAAAGCTGAGCGAGGTCCATCATCTTAGACATACTTGATTATAGCCCTCGCTTTTAGTTTGGACTCCATGTTTCCGTTCTTTTTTTACCTTTCTTTCTTATTTTTTGAGGGTCTTGGAATGGGTAGGGGCTTTCGTACTCTAAATCAGAGATGTAATCCGGACAATGTTGCCACACACCTCAATGGAACCACTTCGGCTCACTGACTTCGTAAATTTATGAATATATAATGTTTTTCAGCAGAGATGTTTTCGTGGCATTTGTGAGCTTGGCTCCCCATGTGGCATTTGTTGATGTGAAGATTTGTCGACGGCTGATTTCTGAGCGCCACATTCTTGTGCTAGTGCATCCAGGCTTTTTTGGAATATTTTGGTTGAGCAAGTTTTAGAATTTTTTTTTTTCATGCTAGAACTTTTGGTTGTCCAAAGATTCATAATTAACTGAGCTCGATTATGGATCTTGGTGCATGTAGTCTTTTTCTGTGCGATGATTGCCAAACTGCTTTTCGTTCATGCAAATGGGTATACAGTTTGCCGCTACAATTTCAATCCAGAATAGCAAATTACTCATTTAAGTATCCTGGCCCACCCTATTTCCATTTCATTGTTGGTTTGATCGTTTTCTATGAAACTGGCATTTATATGTCACGGTCTCCAAGCAGCTTTCATTCCACATGCATGATAGGGAGCCTCTGTTGCTTTCGATTATTTGAAGAGAAAGGAGATGGTGTTCGTGTAAAAGTTTACAATGTGCTGTGTAAGGGAGGGATTCCTCGTGAACATATCAACATCACTGTACAACATATAATTGAATACAATATACATGTATTTTCACTCTCTTCGGACAAGCTATTATAATCGGTGAAAAAGAAAAACCTTTGTTGACAATTAATCATTTGACACGTCTAGAATAACTTTTAACAACGAGAAAAATCACTGCCAAAAATTTCAGCTTTGTGGATTCAATTCCAGTTTTCCAAACTTCTCCTTTTCCTCGTGCAACTGTTTGAAGACATTATCAAGCTCTGGAAATGCAGATACGAGCAGCAATTCAAGAAGATAGAACGCTAGTTGCTTCATACAAACAGATGACTGTACACAGCAGAAGGGCAAAACAGCAACCGATGAGTAATGGTTCCAAAAGAATGATACAGATATTAACATATGCTATTTGCTAAAGATGAAACGGTTGCATACTGTAAGGAAAAAGTCGTGGAGGTTTAGGCATTGAAATAATAAAAGAACCATGAATTACATCGAAGCTTGTAAATCTGAGTCCAACCATGAAAAGGAACTCAGTCTTCCCACCCCAACAAAATATAAAATAAATCAGAAGCTAGAAGAAACTGATAAGCAATAAGTGACTTGAGATCAAAGGAGGGGTGAAAGAAAGCCCGTATTTCTTAAAAGACTCATTAATTACAGGTCATGGCTCAGCAATCTGTCAAACAAAAAGGTAATACACATGAATACATTCAAATTTTTTTTAGGGCTAGCGGGATTGATGTGACGGGATAGGGATAGCTATGTTTCTCTGGGAGTGAACTCCGGGCGAATATGAAGCGCGTAGATACAAGTTATGCCTTGGAATGAGATAATTCTGAATCCGCTTTGTCTATGAACAAGGAAGCCATAAGTAATGCAACTATGAATCTTATGGAGAATTCGATCTTGGCTCAGGATGAACGCTGTGTAGACATTGCATATTTCTAATGTATCCTAATATTTCCTTTGTCTTGTATGTAGGTTCCACCAGAGACTTAGAGCTAACTTTACGTATCTGTGTATTGAGAAAAGTTGAACCCTAGGCCTTGAGAGAACACATTTGAGGCAGAATGAAGTTGACGTGTTTCCTAAAGACACCGTTTGGCAAAGGATGGACAGAGGAAAAGAGAGTCTTTAAGAATACAAATCAACCACTTTTGATTTCATCTCATGAAAGATTGAGCAGTTCACAACAATTACAATAAACATAGATCACCTGAATAAAATAATAGAGATCTTTTGCACATTTTTCATATTCCTTGTGACCAACAAGACCTACAATAGCAGCTGGTGCCTTATCTGCATGAGATTTTGAAGTCATTAACACAGAGAGAGAGAGAGAGAGAGAGAGAGAGAGAGAGAGAGAGAGAGAGAGAGAGAGAGAGAGAGAGAGAGATAAAATTTTATTAGGTTGCGTAAGCTATTGGTCCCGTAAAACATAAACTATAATCATATTAATTCACTAAGTAACAGGAAAAGCCAATATATCATTAAGCAACACCATGAGTTTAGGATTCATTGGCAATACAGTGGGAGTAATAGAATAGAGCATAGGACAACATTGCGAAAGGAGTTAGAAATAAGTATAAAAGGCTTCTAAGTAAACTTTAATTGCATAAAACGGCTTCTGGTTTCTTCATCCTATAGCTAGCATCAAAATTAACTTATTCTGAATATATGTTAGGAAAGCCGGAAATGTAAAAGGAAAAATGGAAACTTTCAAAGGGGCAGGAAAAGAATTTCCAGACCTTCAAATACTGGTCAAGCAATTTACACCGCTGTTGAATTACAAAAACTTCTAGACCGGTTGACAGGAAATGCTTCGGTGGCAAATGGAGATTATATTCAGGAAACTCTTTAAGACGCCGATGTAACTCCTCAAAATGTCGAAATCTGTAAGCACGAACAATAAATTCCAGTTAAGACCTGGAATTTATAATCATACTACAACATGCCACATTAAGATGAATTATTGATGATAAATAAAAATTGCAAAACCTATAAAAGGAGCATTAGGGCATGAGAATGAGATAAAACAAAAAGTTTACAGAATATCTTAACACCTTCTTTTGATGGACCAACTGTTACTATTTACATCAGTAACAGATATGGAATAAACAGCAAAAGTTTTGGACCCACTCTCCACAATATTGGCACCAAATACCTGCAAAAAGAAATGGGCTCACATCCAGCATGAAACACGCATTCAAGACTGGTGCAACTGAAAGTGGAAGGCATGAATTGAATACCTCACATCGTAACTTGAAAAAAGAATCAGCAACAATTGAGTTTTTTGCAGAATTAGCAGGCCAGCAATGACTTCCAGGTAAGGAGGCAAAGGAAGCCGATGATGAAGTAGTAGCTCCACTATAAACTCTGTTTAAAAGTTCAGCCTCAAAGTCATCACTTAAGTCTTCATGTTTGATATTTTCTGTGGAAGAATACAGTATATCCTGCCTGTCTCCCGGTAAGAAACTAGTTCTTTCAACCTCTTGCCACAAGTGCCTGTTGTGACTACTTGATCTAGACCTTTTCCTTTTAGACAGGGTTTTAAGCAATCTTCGTGAATGAAGATGCCCTTTGCTCATCTTTCTACTCTTATGGCCTTCAAAACTTTCAAGAGGATGATGAATGCTACTGACGCTTCTTTTGTTTTTAGCATCCCAAACAATAATACCAGGTGAATCAATACCTGTTACACTGCTAGTATCTTCATCTTCAGTAGTATAACAACTGCTCTCTGATTTGACCTCATCAGAATGCAAGACGCTAAGTTCATCTTTGTCTTCACTTAAAGGAATTGCTGTACGACTTTGTTTTTTAAACTCATCATGTGTGACAATAATGTTGGCCCCAGGGCATTTACTACATCCAGAATTAGAAACATCACTCTCAAAGGAACTACCTTTGGTTTCTTTAACCTTTTTCTTTGCCCCAGAAAGCTCCTTTGACTGCTTGATCGAGATAGATACACCCACCAAAGAGGCTTGCTTCACAGGGTCAGCCACCTGATTTGCGCCTTCATTCCTTTTGTAATTTCTTCCTTTAGTCCACATATTGTCAAAATGTTCTGGAGCCAGTGCCTCAGTCTTTCTGCGAGAAAACACATCTAGCATATCAACCCATTCTCCTCCGGATAGGTGTCGCTGAATATCTCTTCCGTCAGCATAATTGTTTTCTGATGGCAAAGAACTCCAAGAAGGGGTGGAGTGTTTACCAATGGAAAGCAATGGATCTTTTGAAAGAAGTATTTCCTTCATGTTGCCTGATGCAGGATTCTCAGCCTCATTCTTGGATTGATCCTTCTTTAACTGTACGAGTTCAACACCTTTCATGGAAGGATCTAGAACCCGTGAAAAATGATCAGATGATAACTTAGGAGATATATTTGGCCTGGACTGTAAATCCACATGTGTTGCCTTACTTCCTTTGTCGGTCTTGCTTAAAGAAATAACTAACGATTCAATTCTCTCATTGATAAACCTGGCACCAAATTTCGTGGAAGAATAAATAATAGAAAGGATGCACTTCTTCAGAGCAGAAAAAAATATATAATTACCTTGGGCTAGATAAATTTATCACTGGTCGCATTACTGCACAAGCAAGAAGTTCCGTTACGATATAGCGAAATAAGGAGCATTGTAGATCATCTGGCTTAAATGTAAATGAAATGAGACCATCCATAATATGCTGGAGAACCTGCAAGCTTTGCATTCCAAAGGGAAAAAATTAGCAATGCAGAAAGCAAAAAATTTCTTGTGCCATTGGCCAGATTACCTATCATTTATAAACTGCTAGGAACAGAAAAGAAAAAGGTTCGACCTTGTGCTCAGCTTCGGCAGAAAATAAAGCAGGATGCAGTTTGTTTTCCGCAGCCAGAACAGATTTTAGTTCCATTTCTCTCTCTTCCATGGTTAGAAATCTTGAGCGGTGCTTCTCAATCTTTGTCTTGCTTGCACGAAAAAGCTCCAACTGAGTGCATAGAAGATCAATGACATCCCTGCAACATACCAAGAAAATTGGCATCCTATAGATGAAACCTCAAGGATTATCTCAGTAAAGAAAAAAATTTCCGTAACATCTACAAAAAATAAACCTTGTTAGAAGACTAATTAGATTAATATATCTCATGCGATATGAAAATTCCCCGAGTACACCATTCATGATCTGCATAAGCTCTTCTGGTCCTTGTCTATCAGGAGTTATGCGGGAGTACCAGAGATTTGTTACCCACTCTGACACAATATGTCTAGTGAAATGGTCTATTGCATCCTCAACAACAGGAGAATCCACTTTACGCCTCCAATCAGACGTATCAGCAGTAACTCTAGGAACCTCAAAAGGTTTTCTCATGGGAGTAGTACTTACAGCTATTGGTTTGCCTTTGTAATTTGCAGCTTTTCTCCGCATATCAAATTCCAGAGACCAGTAGCGAAAGATGATTATTAAAACGGCAGAGGCAGGCAAGTTGACTAAAACTGATGAGCTTGTTACTGGGACGAGAAAGAAAGAGAGGCAATAAGGAAAAGAGTAAAGCCAAGCCCAGTAATTTGGGGAAGGACAGAGAACAGAACAGTTTGTCCATCATATAACCCATAAGAAAATAATACACATGGATACGTGCACGAAGGGGAGTGGTATGGGTGGGATAGGGTTGGCAAGAAGATGGTTTTTATAACAGAACCATGCTGAAATACTGTCTATCTGAGCTGCTGATCAACTTACTGAAATAAAGACGTAGTATTCTAAGATGTAAAGAGTAAATATTTTTGTCTAGGTTATGTTTATCCAAATGTTATGACATCAAGAACCTTTTAATTGACAATTTACAACATCCAGAGAACAAGACTCAAAAAGCATAAATATAATGCAAGATAGGCAGATAAGTAATAAGTGTGCAAAAAACCTTACTGTGAAATTCATGAAACAAATTGAGAACCTCTGTACATTACCTTTGAGGCTTGTATTCAAGTAGACTAAAGAGACACAAAATGTCATATAAGAGAAACAAATAACTGATATTAGGTTCTTCCCATGCATGGAATTTGCATAATTGTTACATAAAGTTTTCAACTGAGTGATTAGGCCTGCATATCAGACACCTGCTTCCAAGTGCAATCCCATTGAACACCATTTCTACTCCAGTCAACATTTATAGACACCAGAACAGAATATATAGATGATAGTATTTCTCTTGGAGACACAAACTAGCTGATTCGTACTTCTTAGTCCATTGCAAGTACTATAAACTTTTGTGCTCTACTTAACAAATAAAGTAGCCCAAATCCTACAGTAATCGGCTTGTTGTAGGTAGGCATGTAGGCAAGTAAGTGCATCCACCTATACTTTCAGCATTGTTGTCAGCTTGTTATGCTGCGCTTATAAACTTTACTCCTCTTTTTCGTATCCTCAAACTGGGTGATATCACCTCCACCAATTTGTAATTTTGTACAACCAAAGTTGATTCCCCAGTAAACAGAAAGTAAAAATAAACGACAATAATCTATATAAAGTCAATAAATTAAGCAACAGCGAAAAATAATTCGCCGTCGAAATTGAAAAATGAAAAAATAAATGTGAATTACTTACAGGACATCAGATAGGACAGGCCTACAACACATACGATCAAAAACACAATTCGCTTCTTGGCTTCCTCCAAGAGGTCCCGAACGCTAACCAATTGTCTTTCGGTGCTCATTTTTGGACCTCCAAATATAATTCACTCTCTCATATCACCCAAAATCTCATTAAAAAATCCAGCTGAGAAATTAAAACCAGAGAATCGTTCAATATATCCACCCATTCTGAACTAATCCAATCCTAAAAAATTCATTCCATGGGCGATCATTCTAGAAATTTCCAAAACCTCAATAATAGTAAATCATCGTCGTGATTAAAGAAGGGCACAAGAAATTTTTTGATAGAAACAGGTCAAAATTTTGCTTTTATGCTTCGGATTCAATAGTCTTCCGAGCAGAGACCGTTGGGTTTTCTACAAGCGCGTGTCTATATATATTAGTGAGTGCGTGCGTGTCGAAATAGAATAATTCTGGTATGTTTGCGTTTGAGATATATATATATATATATATATATATATTTTTTAAATGTTCTTACTCATTATTCACGATTTTTGTCCCTATTTCTTGTTATTCTTTCATGTGGTGAAATAGATTCATCAATGGAGGTAGAGACCACGATCCGACATTTTTTAAATTCTCGTAGAATTTACTAATTTTGTGAGAATGATGACATCATCTTGTCAACAAGATTTTATACAAATATCTATATCTTTATATTTATCTATTTTGGATAAATCAACCACATGGTCTTTTTTTATTTTTAAACATCTTTAGCCAAAAACATAAAAGAGAACATAAAATATGTGTAGCCTTATCTCGAAATGTACGCCTTGTTTGATTCTCATTCTTTTCAAAATACATTTTTCTCTCTCTTCTTTTCAACCACACATTATTCATTAAAATAATATTACACGTAAATAAAAAAAAATTCTTTATTTTCCAACTACACATTTCCACCAATCTACTTTTCTAAAATTCATTTTTTCATAAAAATGGGACTCAAAATCTTCATATATTGCATGAAATATATTCTTCCTAGAGTCGGTACTCGAACCAGACTGTCGAGATCAATTATGTGCGCATCACAGGGAAAGTCCATATTTCTTTCCCATATTTGTTTCATCTCTACATGGACTTAAAGTCCAATTTATTTCCGACCCTCCTATTAAAATCATGTGATTAAGTTGTCGTTCAAAGTACCTACCATTGTAGGGCTGCTCATAAAGGAAGGTGGTTGAAAAGGAGAAAAGGCATGAAGGCTATGAATTAATGTTAACCTCATATGCAGCTATTTGTGAATGTGTTATGTTTGCACTCAATATTTTGTTCAACTCTATCAATTTGATCTGTTCTGTTTACTTTATCTATGTTTTGTTCTTGATTAGCTGAAGACGAAAGAACTTTTTCGATCAAAAAATTTTCGAGTCCGCCAAATCATTCACCATTGAGGTCTAACTTTACTCGTCGGCTTTTGAAGTTATTAGTCATACCAGTTAGCACGCACCCTTATCCAAAATTTGCACGTTGGTCCCCGAGTTCTCAAGTTGCTGTAGTTCTGTCCCTTCGCTATCTAAATTATGCATTCCTGCCCTAATATTTCCAGGATTACAAAGTGGTCACTGAGGTTTCATATTCTGCAATTCGGTCTCTGAGGTTTCTAGAAAGTACAATTTGGAACCTGATGTGTCAGCTTACTGCAACTTGATCCCTCTAGATCTGATTTTGTTTAAGTCAGTCTCCCTGTTCAGTTTGATTAAAAATGGCCACTGCATTTAACTACTTGCTACAATTCCATCCCACAAAATATTAAATCAGAGCAGATCAGTCCTTGAGCTTCTATTGCAAATAAACCCCTTAATTGGGTCCAAGGGCAAAACCGATCTGAATAATTGGGTTCAACTAAAGATCGCCCGGCCTAAAGTAGCATGCCCATCCTCCAAATCAGGTTTACCCATATGTAGCTGCTCCGTAGAACCTGACCGGGTTGAGTTTGCCCATCAAAAGGTCCAAGCCCAAGACGTGGAGTCCATCAACCAGGGCCAAGCCCTGACCCGATATCCTCAACCTATTTTGTCTTAGCAAGAATTGTCCTCACCGACAGTACTTCATTCAAAAAGATGGTTAAATGTGTGTGAAAAGACATTAGTACCCACAACTATAAAATAGGCAAAAAGTAAATTTAAAAGGAAAGTTGAGGTTATAAGCGTAAAAAGTTGAAGACAGTGGCTATAATTTCCCATAATGATTGTTTGGAACTTGGATGCTTGAATTATTAGATCTTTTCGCACCCAAACAAATGATAATGACCGTTGATTATTAGCTTTTATCTTTTACTCACATGCTGGTAAATAGGACGATCGTACATTTATCTCTTTTGGACGACAATTGAACCATATTCCAGTATCGAATCTTGAGTCATTTTGAAATTTGGAATTTTCGTAATATACGGTTTATCGATAAGGTGATTGGTGTACACGTATTATGTGTGGTCACTATAACTTTTTATATATGGGGTGCCCTACGTATTCAAGCTAAAGATAGAATCTTCTCAAGTATCAAAGTTGAAATAAGTCATGCCAAACAAAAAATTGAAACAGTATAGAAATCTTTTCAACATTCTAGCTCCTTCGTTTTTACTCTATTTACATGTGTAAAATGAGTGATCATATCAGACTACTTTTTTTACTAATAAAAAGTGGGATATTTCTTAATTATTCGTGCAAAATTTCATTCTTCCTTTTTAAAAATTAATGGCTTCGTGAGGGTCATCTTGATGCTAAGGGTCCATTTCGAATGATTTTTACTTTTTGTAAAAGAGCTTATTGAGGAAGTCACATTTGATCAGCTTTCTCTAAAAGTCATAAATGTACCTAAAAGTAACTTTTTAATTTCAGAAGTTGTTTTTGACTTTTCAAAAGATTTACCAAACGAGCCGCTATTAGAATTGGATGGATCCAAATTCAGACACCAATGGTCTGTATGTGCTTAGAAAAGGTACATTAGCAAACTTTAAATTTGACATAAAGTATCTTTTGGATTCAACCTGTTTAATTGTGTTGCATGTGAGTCCCGACTATCAGCTAACACTGTGCATTGTGCTAAATTGCTGGACCACTAAGATCGTTAAAATGTATGGTTTTCCATTTTAAAAATATATGGATACTTCAATGTGAAGCCTTTGAATGAGCCTGGTCGTGCATCTTCAGCCTCTGGTTTTTCCTTTTCTTTTTCCAGTATTTATTGCAAGTTAATGCCCGTACCCGACATCTGCATAAAGGACAAGCGGGCGTTGGACTTGGACAGAAGAATTAAATGCAAGAAATCTGAGTACAGGAAGCTAAAATACAATTTCCGGTAAAGATTGAAAGAAGGAGAGAAGAGGTGGCAGAAAAATTGCATGTACCTCTTGGTAGCCTGAGCAATATTTTCAGTTAGATCATCAAGGTTCTTAAATAACACATTTCGGTGATCCTATTGAAGTAATTATTCATTCTTGTTTGAATTCCATATGATTTTTTACTGGGATTTCAAGAAAGTTTTCATTTTGTTCAGGCAGAAGTTAGGAGAAATTGATGGCCGAGGCTGGATTAAAGTGGAGGTGTGCAGTGATTTTGACTGTTTTGCTTGTTATTGGCAGTGGAGTTTCAGCAGCAGATCGGGGTTTTGATGTGGGCTTTTTAAGAAACAATGGAACCACAAATGAGTTTGAATCACATTACTTATCCAAAATCATCAGTTTCTTGCAGCAAAACTATCTTTTGCTTGTTCATCATGTGTGGCCTGTGAGTTCATTTTCATATTTCTTGAGTCAATTTGAGATTTGAATTGTCTATCGTTCATTTCTATGTGGGCACGCCTCCAATTATGGATAACTTACAGTTGTTTGTTTTAAGGAAATTTTTCATGGACCGCGTTGTACTCTTCTTCATATAGTGAAAATTGGAATATCAAAGTGGATGTAAATCTAGCAATCATTTAAAATTGCTTGGTGTGTTTCTGATCTTATCTTCGTTTACTATTGCTCTTGGAAGAAAATATTGTTCTGAAATGCAATTCACAGGAAATGGAGTTTGGCTGGAGAATTATTGTGGGTACTGTAATTGGATTCCTTGCTGCTGCTCTTGGAAGTGTTGGAGGTGTTGGGGGTGGTGGGATTTTTGTTCCTATGCTCACTCTAATCATTGGATTTGATCCAAAATCATCGACTGCAATCTCTAAGTGTAAGGGTTTATGATCAAATTGTGCATATTATGAATTGTTCCTTTTTTTTGCTTTCAACTGATTATTGTAGCCGAATAGCATTAAAATTCTGAAGAATCTCTTCTTGCAAATCCTCCTGACCCGACCGTCTCATTAGTTCATTATTTTGATGATTTGACTGTGTTTAAGGTCTTTTGTTTTCTTGATCAGGCATGATTACTGGTGCAGCAATTGCCACTGTTTACTACAATCTCAAGCTCCGGCATCCTACACTTGATCTTCCCATAATTGATTATGATCTAGCTCTTCTTTTTCAACCCATGTTGGTACTTGGCATCAGTATTGGAGTTATTTTCAATTTGATTTTTGCAGACTGGATGGTTACTGTATTACTGATCATTCTTTTCATAGGTGATCAATATTTTTTCCCCATATTTTACACTTCTCCATTAGGATAGTTATTTATGTTGAAGACTAAATTTAAATGTTAGGTCATTGATTAAAAAAATGAATCCGCTGCGTTGAAGACAAAATTTAAATAAACAAATATGTTTTTTCTCTTAACAACTTGAGCTTTTTGACGAGATAGTTCAAAAGTTTATTGGTGTGTGATCTGCAGGCACATCGACCAAGGCATTCTTCAAGGGCGTTGAAACATGGAAGAAAGAAACTATAATAAAGAAGGTTGTCTAACATTTCACCCCTTCGATTTCTAAAATTTTTCAAGTTGCAGTTCTTTGAACTATCTTTGTTGTCTGTTGCTTCTGCTATCCAGGTGGCTGCTAGACGCTTGGCATCTGATTGTGAGTACACTTGTCACATGCTCAATCTTTCTGAAGTATTTTGAGAGAGAAGAAAACAGAATCTTATTTTGTTAGTTGGATATATAATGTAAACTGAAATCAGATACTGGAAGTGACGAAGTACCATACAAACTTCTACCTGGAGGCCCGACTAATGGAACTAGATTGCGTCACAATGAGCGTTCTCAGGTGTTGAAAAAAGAAGTTAAATTCTAGTCTAGTACACAAACGTTCCCTTAAGTTTAAGATGTGTTCCAAAAACTAAATTCGACAAGTATCCCAGGTCTCAATTATCGATAATGTCTGCTGGAAGGAACTCAGTATACTGGTTGCTGTTTGGGTTATAATCCTTTTACTCCATGTACTCAAGGTTATTATCAATATTCCTAAAAAGTCTCACTTATGGAAATCTTTTACTCTTTATGAGCAACAGTTGAGAATGCTTTGCAATTTTCATCCAGGATTTTACAGCAGCTTGTTCAGCGGCATACTGGACACTTACCTTATTGCAGGTACCATATTAGATCATAATGCAATAGCAGCTTCCCATAATGCAGACTTGTTCAGCGAATTGATCCCTTAAAAATCAATACTCTGCTCTTACAGGATATAATCTTCTAATTCATGTCCCCTCGATTTCCACTGCTTTATAGAGACTAAAGTCCTTTTCACTAGGATTCTATATTTTTACGCCAAAATTCATCCAGTGACAACTTTATTTTCTGTTGATTATCAGATCCCGATTGCTGTTGGAGCATCTGGATATGAGGCAGTCAGCTTATATAATGGGAGGAGGGTGATAACTTCCACGGGAGAAGCAGGAATAAACTGGACAGTATACCAGTTAGTTCTTTGTTGTTTTTGTGGAATTTTGGCTGGTATAGTTGGTGGGCTGCTTGGTCTTGGTGGTGGATTCATTCTAGGTCCCTTATTTCTAGAGCTGGGAATTCCCCCCCAGGTGCGTCCAGTGCTCGTATTAAGGGAGAAAAAGAAGTTAAAATCTTATTTTTTTATACTGTCCAGTCCATTACAGTAATGTGTAACAAAGATGTGCCATCTATTTCCCCTCGGCAACAGTTTATTTTTCTAAAACTTCCGATACAGGTTTCAAGTGCGACTGCTACATTTGCCATGGCATTTTCTTCATCCATGTCTGCGATACAATATTATCTTCTACGACGATTTCCAGTACCATACGGTTAGTAATCGAGCAAATTTCACCTTCTCCTAATCGAGTAGTAAAAGGTTAATAATCCTTTTTCGTCTGTTTACCATCATTCTCTCTTGCAGCTCTTTATTTTGTTGCTGTGGCTACCATTGCTGCATTTGTTGGACAGCATGTAGTACGGAAGATGATTAGCATACTAGGGAGAGCATCTTTGATCATCTTCATTTTGGCCTTCACAATCTTCGTGAGTGCAATCTCACTAGGTAAGTACGTTCAAATCCGAACTCTCAAGAATTTTTTCTCAATACATTTTGGCCTAATTCTTCTTTTGAAGATCGATTAGACTACTCTCGGAACTTTTTCTTAGTAGCTCTATTTCACTACATTCCATTCATTTAATACCTTGCGTGTCATTGAAATAACAATAGTCCATTCTAGTATTTCTTACATTACCGAAATCTCGATTTATTGCAAATTTCTTTTGTCTTGTTGACAGGGTGGGTTGGCATATCACACATAATTGGACAGGCAAAGGGAAAAGAGGGCTTGTGGTTTTCTAATATTTGCTTAGATGTGCGTTAGCAAATTTCTATTTAGTTTTTAAGTTTTTCTAACATTTTAATGTTTGAGTACTGTTTGACCATGTAAAATGTCAATAAAGTCAAGCGGCGGATGTGCCCATGCTGTTCAGTTGTTTAATCTTGCCAAGAGCTTGTTTAGCTAAGCGTAAAATACTTATAAGTAAATAAATTTTAAAATAGATAATATTTTTATATCAAAGTTTAAGAAAAGAAAAAGTTTATTAAAGTGAGTAACGTTTTCACATCAAAAGAAAAGGAGTAAACTATTAAATAAGAGCAAACTAGAAACTAGTCTGTTTGATTCGATTTTAGTGAAAATTGGTCTACTTTTGAATCTTGGGATCAAGTTTGGTCCTAATACAAATTTCAACTCTATCTACAAAATTGAATTTTACTACAACTCCAAAATTATTTGTTCACAATCTCTCAATTTAGGGCTTGTTTGAATTACATTATTTTCAAAAAAAATATATTTTTCAACAGTGATTTGACATCATTTCAACCATACATTTTTCAATAAAATGATATTACACAAAAATCTAAAACTTGTTCTTATTTTTTAACCACACATCGTCTATTGATTTGACATGAATAATGCATTTTTTTTCCCTAAAATGTGTCTCAAACATGGGCTTAATTTACATGAATTCACATTAATTAAAATATCTAAATAATCAATGATTATGTCGCTTGAAACAAAAAGCACGGGAAGAATACATTTTACAAATTTACTTTTAAAGCATAAAAGATGTAGACAAGAATCCTAAACCAGAACCAATTAGCTATGATCCCATCCAGACTCAATGGTTCAATTTTCAAAATTCTGGATGAAAACCAGTTTGATCCAATTTTCAAGAAACTCGGACAAAACCACCCGATACCCACCCCTAACTAAGGTTCAAAGCTTCATTGTGTCTTGAATTCTTGAATACTCAACAACAGTATTAAGAATAAGAATAAACTAATAATCTTGTTCATTCTCTTAGTGCTCAATGCTGTTTACCAAACTTCCAGAGTTAGCTATGGTTATGAATATGAACAGTGGCTCATTGCTGCTATAAACAAGTATACAAAACCATGACTACTGTCTACTGCAGGTACATATGTTTCTGAACTTAACTATGCAAGAATTTCTTTCTTCTCATGTAAAGCGAATAAAATTCTTTCAAGGTAAGTCAACTATCGGCTATAGTTCATCTTTAGTTGAGGGCTCCCCGGCTCCCCGGATTTTAAATGTTTGTTGATGAGTGCTGCCGACTCCTTAAAGCTCGACTTCGTAGGAAGATTGATCTGCACTTAAAAGGCACCAATGGTGAAATGAGGAACAAGACGATATATAAAAATAACGATTAACAATGAAAAGAAATAATTACTGGATTTGTCACTAGCCAGGTAGAACGGTAATGTCCGGTAGTCCTCAACTTGTAAACAGAATAGTTAAAAACATTTCTCAGCAAGACAATAGACATCTCGTGTTTGCTCTTATTTCTTTTCTTTGCAATTTGAAAATAAAATTTGACCGTTTATAAATCATCTATAAATTAACCAAACGGAGACTTAATAAATGATCGTAAAATTTCTGCTAAAATTGTCCAATATTATTACATAGCATGCTTACATATATTTCTAATAGGACAAGCTCAACCAACAGCTTCAAACTAGCACGTATTAAAGAGAGAACTTCGCTACTGAATGATGAGATGCTATCAATATGGTTCCGGTAGAGAAAAAAAACGTACTACTGATTGGTCAAAAATAAGCTATAGATCAACTTTTTAGTTGCAGGAGTCTACTCTATATCTACATTGTCACATATTACGAATGAATATTTTTTCTTCTTTAATAATATCAAGTCCAGTCCACCCACCAAATAAGCCATACTAGTAGAATTAGAATGCACTGAATAGAAATCTAACCTGCAGCTGTGGATGTTCATCTGTGGAAGCATCTATTCTTGAAAACACGAGGTTTTCCAATCCCTTGAAGTGCTTCGCCAATTTCTCAACTTGCTTGCTCGTGGTTTCACAGTTGATACACCATGGTGTGTGGATCTTAAATTCGATCAATATTTGAACTTAGAACAGTGAAATTAGGCGTNTCGTGGTTTCACAGTTGATACACCATGGTGTGTGGATCTTAAATTCGATCAATATTTGAACTTAGAACAGTGAAATTAGGCGTCATCTGGATGCGAGATGTGGAAATTCCTAGATTGTTCCATATCAATGTTTACAGAAATATGAAATATCTAATGAGTAAAAATCTAATGCATCTGTATTTCTTTTTGTGGTATACAAATTTGATGAGGAAGTTTGAGGGTCAAAAAATTTAGATCAAAATTTGAATTTTAAAAAGTTGTACGACCCTCAAGAAGAAAGTTCTAAGAAATGCGGAGAACCAATTCATCAAATGTCTTTCCGACAACAGTTAGAATGCTTGCATTTTTCTGCATTTTGACAACTCCAAAAGATTATTCAAATTTATGACAGAAACAGAAAAAACACATTCTTTCACAAAAATGGAGTGTTTCTGTGTATATGCTGAATGTCACTCTCTCTATTTTTTTGTGAAAAATCTACTCATGATCAAAATTTGAAAGGGACTGTGCAAAAAATCATGATAGTAAATAGCAAGCAAATGACGATCCATTGTAATTATTGATGTATGTATTGAAAAAGCATTATTCATGAAAATTGATGAAGAATTCGCATTGTCAGGAACTGGTCGAGATTTGGTGACAGACTTCCTTCCAGAAACCGCTTGCAGAAATTCTTCAAGCAAATATATAGAATGATTGAGTGTGTATTAATTAAAAAGATAAAGCAAAGAGATCGAGATTGTTACCTCTGTGTCTTGGAGCAGGATCCAACTCCACCAGATATTTGGCGCTGTTATTGTAATCAAAGGCAATTATCTACAAACACAAACAAAGCAATAGAAAATGCCAAAATCAGAAGTCTAAAACGTGAAAGAGTGAAGTCTTTTTCCTAATCTAAATTGCAAGGCACTTTATCTCTTCTAGAACAAATAAAGTGAGGAAGGGCTTTGCAAGATTTTCCTCTCTAACATCAACATATATAAAGATTATCTGCAAAAACAGAAGCATGCAAAAGAGATTAATTCAATGACAAAATATAATATTTAATTCAGCTGTATCGTGGTAAGGTTGACAGACCTTTGATTTGAACTTTGGAGCAATATCTTGTAAGGGCTCAAGAAGCTTCTTGAAGTCGTCAGCATCAGCAAAGACGTACACCTAGTTGATACGAGAACTAGGTAACTAATTTAATGCCTCAGATACAAACCAGAACATCAAGTTCATTGACTATAATTTATAAAACATGTTTATTGAATCATTAGGAAGTAAGAGTAATACAAAATACGGGATTCTTCAAACAGAGAAATGACTCTAAAATGACTCATCATCATCTAATTTCTAAAATAGATTTAACATGTTCATATCATTGACCATAAATTCTTAAACTAATCAGTGAATAGCTTTTAGAGCTAACCCATGGGATCTGCAGAACCTGACCATACAAAAAAATTGGACAAAACTGGTTCCACTTATTCTTGAGTATAATAGTTCCTAATTCTTTTACAGAAAACATATATCCATATGTGCTGAGGCCCGAGGACATCATCCTCATACTTATAGTTATGTTTCTTTTCAAA